CCAGTTAAAATCGCATTCTTTTATGTCCCCTACCCCTTAAGAAAACTGGGCCTATACTTAGGCCCAGGCTTCTTCCAGCCTAAACCAATAATAGCCGGGCCTTGGCTTGTCATGTATGGCAATGGCCAGGCTTGGGCCCAAGGCCTTGAGTCTCTGCCGGGATTGGACCAACCCTTCCTCCTCATGATGCCGCCCCTAGGAGTACCTTAATTTCTCGAGTTTATCTTGATAACATGCTAACATAGGCAACAGTTCGAACTCCCTGATATCTTTTATCTCTGGGCTGGCTCGATGTTGTTCTCAATGTCTCTCTATCCCAACCGATGGCCTCTCGGTTTATTTTTCTGATACCACTGGCTGCTAGGCAGACACCCCCTTCTTATGCCATGGATCCCATCTTTGCTTATCAATGCCAACACATGTATTGAACAAATTCTGTGAGTTCTTGGAAAAATTTGTTATAAATGACTGCTCTATCATGAAATGATCCTTATGTTAGGCATGCTTGTAAAATGCTGTGCAGTGAATCTTTGAAGTTGCATCTTGAGGTCATCTTAATGTTAGGAATGCTTATAAGTGTTGTTCTGTAAATTTTGTGAGATAAATTACCCCTCAATGGATGATTAGGATATGCCTTTTTAACTTAATCAAGTTTTTTTAGCTTTTAAACAGGCAAAGTTAGTTTCGTTAATGGAGCCCCATCTGCATTATCATTTTGAATGGAAGGCTGCATTGATAGTTTGCTTCTTTGAAGTTTGAAGTATACATTGAGAGAACGAGCTCCAAGCAAAGGTGGTCAGGGTGGGGGGTGTTACAACGTGATATCTAGATTTCATTCTCCCTGTATTCCAAGTTAGCATTCAAAAAAATAATGAAAAAATACATTGATGAAAATTGGTCTTTTAAAATTTTGATCTAGATGGGGAATCTTCCAGTAAACTCAATGAGAAGGTAATGGTGGATTTTTCTTTCTTATAGGGTAAATAAGGTGACAGTAGCTTAGTCTGATTCCGTAATCTAAGCATTGAGCATCGAGGAAGCTGCTACTCTCACCCTTCTTTTTGTTTAATTTTAACACCCCTTTCTTTTTGTTTGATTTTGTGGAATCTAAGATATGAAAACTCATTATTTTTACATAGGCTTGTACACTGCATTTAATCATTTTTCCTTTATCTACAAAATATTGTTAGCATTAGAAAAAGAAAAAAAAAAAACACCTAGCAACCAACCAACTTATATATATCAAATCTAAGATGAATTACGATATTTACATCTTTGCGCAGGATTTTGGAAAAGGGGAAGCTTATACCACACGTATAAAATAGGAAAAAGGAAGAAGTTTATATAAAGTTGGCACCTTAAAATGTAGAATTAAGGTGTACCTCTATAATTCTTTGAAAAATGTTGTTTTGATTTTGGAAAAACATCTAATTGATCATCTCGACATTGAGATGTATGGATATTGAGAAAAAAAGATATTCTAAGTCTTAAAATAAGTACATCTTGCAACATGTTATATGGTTTGTCCATTTTCAAGATTTATAGGGTTTATAGATCTGTTTGATTTGTACCATTTTTAAAGTTTAAAATTCTATAATTAGAGATTAAAAGAGATTTTTGAACCACCCTAAGAATTTTCGATTTTAAAATTACTTATCATCGCAATTTTTAAAGTTGCAACCTCATGTAAACTACACCTTATAAAATATATGTGAACTCTATTGCCAGCTATTCAATATAAATGAGTAATAATGTCATGTCTAAATACTATTTTATTCTTAATTTTTCTACAGATCTGTTGTGCATTAAATTTGGGGTTTGCCTACTCTTTATCCGAGCCCACCTTGCAAATCAAAAAATATATATCTAATTGAAAATAAGCAAAATACTTTATAAGTTTTAAGGGTATTTCAATCATATTTTTGTTTGAAAAATAACCAAAATATCAAATGCCCTACACAACCCAAATTTTGGTACAGAATAATTCATAAAATAAAAATGAAAAAATAAATAACTTTGAGCCATTTGATCAATGTTAGATGTTTAGGAACTAACTTTATACATTCCGCTTAATTTCAAGTGTCTATTCAAATCATATGGGTGAGAGTAGGGGGCATGTTTTTGTGTATGGGTGGTGCCACATGTGAAGTTTTCCTTTTTAAAAATGCCAAATTATAGCCCCAGCTTTATGTTTCCATATCCATACATCCATATTTGGGCATCTCAGCTCTCTGTAACTCTCTCCCCGTTGAGCTCACATTGATCTAGGTTTTGTTGCTCTAAATGAAGGGAAAATTTTATGTAAGTTTGCATCCTTATATTATAGAAGTATGGTGCACCTAAAAAATCCTATACAAAAGAGTTTTGAACATGGGAAATCTTTCAATCGATCATTCTTAATTTTCACTCTCTCTATCTTGAACTTTTGTAATTTGAAGGGTTGTGAAGTTTAGACTATATATATATATATATAAAGTTTATATAAGGTTGCAACCTTAAAATATAGAATCACACAGATGCACCTCAAAAATCTATCGAAAATATTGTTTTAATGTTGAAAAAGCCCTCTAATCAATAATCTCGACATCGAGATCTGTGAATATGAAAATA